TGAAAACTGGATGCGACTTGACTCTCATTTCCCAGGAGGAATACGATGGTCATTGAAAATGGAGACTAGGAAAGTTTTTATGTATATATGTGTGTGTGTGTGTGTAATATGTATATAATATATACATGACATATATTATATATAAATATATATATACATACATATATATATATATATATATATATATATATATATATATATATATATATACATACATACATACATACATACATCCATATACACATGTATGTACACACACACACACACACACACACACACACACACACACACACACACACACACACACACACACACACACACACACACACACACACACATATATACATACATATACACATACATATATATATACATACATATATATACATATGTATATATTTATATATACATATATATATTTATATATACATTCCTCTCTCCCTCTTTCCTTCCACTCCCTCCCTCCCTTAACTTTGCTCCTTCCATCCACTCCACTCCCTCGCCTTAATCTCCTCCCTCCCTCCCCTCTCCTCCAGTCATTCCCTCTCCCTTCTTCCCTCTACTGCACTCCACTCCCTCATTCCCCTTTCCTCGCCCCACTCCTCCCCTCCACTCCACTCCACTCCACTTTCATCTCCTTTCATCCACTTCTCTCCACTCCCTCCTCTTCGCTCCACTCCACTCCCCTTCCCTCCATCCCTTCCTCTCCACTCCCTCCCTTTTCCTCCACTTCACTCCTTCCCTCCCTCACTCCCTCTACTCCTCTCCACTCCCCTTCCCTCCCTCTCCTTGCCTCCCTTCCACTACACTCCTGCCATCCCAACCCCCTTCCCCTCCACTCCCTCCCCCTGCATTGCCCTCCCTCCCTCTCTCTCCTACTCTCCCTTTCTCCCCTTTCTCCCCTCCTTCCTTCCCTTCCCTCCATTCCTTTTCCCTTTACTCTACTCCACTCCAGCCCTCCCCTGCTTCCTCTCCCCTCCCTTCCATCCCCTTCCCTCCCCTTCCCTCACCCCTCCCCTCCCCTCCCCTCCCCTTCCATCCCCTCCCCTCCCCCTCCATCCACTCCCTCCCTCTTCTCATTCCTCTCTCC